AATACAAGTCTAAAGAGGTTATAATTTCATCATACAGCCACTGGTCAGGCCACATTTGGAATATTGTGTTCAGTCTTGTGCTCCTCACATTAGGAAAGACACTCAATTGTTGAAAAGGGTTCAGAGAAGGGTTACTAGAATGGTGCCTGGGATGGAGTGGTTGCCATATGAGAGAGGGTGAAATCTCTCAAATTGTTTTCTCTTGAAAAAAAAAAAAAAAAAAGAGTTAGAGGGGATCTGATTGAGGTGTTTAAGATTGTAAAAGGAATTGATAGTGTTGAAACAGAATTTTTTTTTCATGTTTAACAGTGAGAATAGTAGGACTAGGGGACACAAATATAAATTTTGGAAGGTTGGAGTCATCTTCAGCTAAGACAGTTTCATTTTTCTAACAGGGTGGTTGGCCTTTGGGTTGTCTTCATATGTAGAGACAGCAAATTTAAGAAAAAACTTTATAAGTATATGAATGATAAGGGCTGGCTTTAAGATTTTTTTTTTAAGTCTAATTTAGAGGATGGGACAGCCAAGATGGTTCAATAGGTCCCATGTTGTCCCAAAATGTTATGTTATGCTAAACACAGTCAAGCACATATTTAAAATAGGGCATGATTAACTAAAATCAAACCAAGTTCAGTTACTACTACTACTACTACTAAACAGAAGTACTAATTGCGCAAATGATACTACATCATTCTTATCATAAGCTGCTATGTTATTTCTGTACCAATATCATTGTATTATACTACAGAATTCTTATGATAAGCTGCTATATTATTTTTGTACCAATATCATCGTATGATAAATTACTACTGGTACTACAACTAGTAGTTGTGACTAGCACTAGTAATATTACTAGTAGTATTGTGGTTATAATAATAAATACTGTAAATGATACGACAGAATTCTTATGATGAGCTGCTAGGTTACCCTTGTATCAGTACCATGTACATGTGGTGATGACATTGAAGTCAGCTGAATTTGATAAGTGAATTATTATATTAATGACTAAATAAGCTTAGGCTACCTGTCTGTGAATATTCGTCAGGAGTCTTTCCGCCTGCCATCAACCATCGACACCAGTCGATTGTCTCCCAGTCATCAATTGGTTTTGAAGGGTCTATTATGATATCAAGTAAGTCATGTAGCGATCTTGGACTATTTGTTCTTTGACATTCTGCTTGAAAATAAGCAGCTGCCCCTCTTTTACCTTTTTTAATCAGCGATGTCACATCGACATCAGCCATTTTGTCTCGTCGACTGCTATGTGCGAAAGCTTAACTACTGATTCCCAGATAGCGTCATCTATACTAATTTTAAACATTGTACGCGAAAACGATGGCATACTAAAAAAGTAATGCCTAGAACTTGTTTCTAAAATCTAATAAGCAATATATCCTTTCTTTAGTAGCTGCATAATTTAACAAAATTTTTGTACATTTTACATTTTTACAACTGCTACGATATGGAATTCGAATGGACAGTAGAAAGTATTAGTTTTGCTCAAACACATAAAATATTGTTATGTTTATGTAGCAATAGCCCTTATTTTATTTTGTACTGTTCTTACCTCGCCGACCACATTTTATCCGGAAAGTCACGTCTGAGAGACGATCCACTATGTCATATGGGCCTTCCCATGGAGAAGACAACTTAGGAGACTTCCCCTTGAAAACGTCTGCTGATTCGATGAAGTTAACTTATGATAAGAGATCTACTGAAGTCAGCTTTGAACCAGGAGACAAGGTGTGGTTGTATAATCCCAGGAAGACCAAATTTTGACTGCACTTGATGGTGAATATCATCCATCCTTTCTGATAACACTTTCAGAAACTCTGACACATTCTCAGGCAACTCTTCGTAAGGTGGGCGTCCTGTTAACAGATCCACTGGCAACCAAAGTTCCCGACCAAATATCAACTTTGCTGGAGTGTATACAGTGGTTTCATGCTCTGCTGTCCTATAGCCCATCAACAGTGGAGGGAGTAAGACATCCCAGTCATCTTGGTGGCTATTACAAAACTTTGCCAATTCCTGTCCCAGTGTCCAGTTGTACTTTTCTACCATTCCATCTAGACT